CAACATAGAGCACATAGAGATTTCTAGAGATGAAGTGGAAAGAATACTCAAGGAGCTAAGTAAGAACAAAGCAGTTGGTTCAGATGGAGTTTCACCATGGGTTCTGAGAGAATGTGCACCTGAGCTCAGCATTCCAATTCAACTGATTTTTCATGCATCCCTGTTTACAGGAGTTGTAGCTGATGTGTGGAAAAAGGCTAACATAGTTCCAATCTACAAAAGTGGCAGCAGGGAAGATCCCCTCAATTATAGACCTGTATCATTGACAAGTGGCATAGTCAAAATATTGGAAAAAATTATTAAAACTAAACGGGTAGAACACCTGGAGAAATACGATATAATATCAGACAGACAGTATGGTTTTCGATCTGGAAGATCTTTTGTAACGAACTTACTCAGTTTCTATTATCGAGCCACTGAGATTTTACATGAAAGAGATGGTCGAGTTGATTGCATCTATCTGGACCTAAAAATGGCTTTCGACAGAGTTCCACATAAGAGGTTGTTCTGGAAACTGGAACATATTGGAGGGGTGACAGGTAAGCTTCTAACATGTATGAAAAATTTCCTTACTGACAGAAAAATGAGGGCCGTAATCAGAGACAATGTATCGGATTAGAAGAATGTCACGAGTGGAGTACCACAGGGTTCAGTTCTAGCACTGGTAATGTTCATTGTCTACATAAATGATCTACCAGTTGGTATACAGAATTATATGAACATGTTTGCTGATGATGCTAAGATAATAGGGAAGATAAGAAACCTAGATGATTGTCATGCCCTTCAAGAAGACCTGCACAAAACCAAGTGTATGGAGCAACACTTGGCAAATGGAATTTAATGTTAATAAATGCCATGTTATGGAATGTGGAATAGGAGAACATAGACTCCACACAACCTATAAATTATGTGAGAAATCTTAAAGAATTCTGACTAAGAAAGGGATCTAGGGGTGGTTCTAGATAGAAAACTGTCACCTGAGGACCACATTAAGAACATTGTGCGAGGATCCTATGCTACACTTTCTAACTTCAGAATTGATTTTAAATACATGCACGGAGAAATACTAAAGAAGTTGTTCACGACTTTTGTTAGACCAAAGCTGGAATATGCAGCGGTTGTATGGTGCCCATATCTTAAGAAGCACATCAACAAACTGGAAAAGGTGCAACGACATACCACTAAGTGGCTCCCAGAACTGATGGAGAAGAGCTATGAGGAGAGGTTAGAGGCATTAAATATGCAAAAACTAGAAGATAGAAGAAAAAGAGGCGATATGATCACTACATACAAAATAGTAACAGGAATCGATAATATTGATAGGGAAGAATTCCTGAGACCCAGAACTTCAAGAACAAGATGTCATAGATTTAAATTCATGAAACAAAGCTGTCGGAGAAATATAAGAAAATTCACTTTTGTAAACAGAGTGGTAAATGGTTGGAACAAGTTAGGTGAGAAGGTGGTGGAGGCCAAAACCATCAGTAATTTCAAAGTGTTATATGACAGAGTGCTGGGGAGACGGGACACCACGAGCATAGCTCTCATCCTGTAACTACACTTAGGTAATTACACTTAGGTAATTACATGAAAATAAAATAAAATTAAATAAAGAAAAGAAAAAGACAAGCCGCCAACCAGTGGGCAGAGAGCACCACACCAGCCAGGCAAAGAAGGCACCAAGAAAGCACAAAAACTGCACCAAAAGGTCCACCTCGACAACAAAAACCCAAGGCCCAGGCACGACCATAACACGTGCCAAGACACAAAAAGATCAGCCTGTAAGCGAGGAAGACCCCCGAACCCCAGAAGGCAGAACCGGGTCACACATGAGGTAACAAAACCCCCTGAACCCACAAAGAGGGCCCAAGAGGAAAAAACCTCCGGAACGAACCCCAAAGAACCCAAAGAAACCCGGAATCAAACTCGGGGGACCCCAAACTACTACATTTGTCAGCGGAAATCAGAAAGGCCAAAGCACAGCACCCACACAGATCCCCCCGGGAAATGGCCAAAACAGACCGAAAACTGAGGGACAAGGTGTGGGAACAAGCATAAACAGACAGGGACATGTAGCCCAAACCCCAGGGCCCAGATCCAAACAGACAGAAAATGCAAAAACTGGTGTAAAAACCACCTATTTTAATAGCTGTAATTACGTAAGTGTTTTTACAGGATGAGAACTATGCTCGTAGTGTTCCCTCTTCCCAGAGCTCTATCATATAAAATTTTTAAACTACTACTGTACTGACAGTTTTGGCCTCCACTTTCTTAAATTGTTCCAACCATCTACCACTCTATTTGCAAAAGTAAACTTTCTTATATTCTTTCTACAACTTTGTTTAGTTGTCTTAAACCACCTTAAGCCCATCATCACACAGCAAAAATCTGCTATCAGAATAATAACTAACTCTGCTTTCAGACAACACTCAGCTCCCTTGTTTAAATCTCTAAACTTGCTAAATATTAACTCCCTCCACACATTCTCTTGTGTCAACTACATTTACAAAACCCTGTTCTTAAATGCAAACCATGCTCTGAAACTCTCCCTGGACAGATGTAATAGGACCCATTATCACCACACCAGAAATAAATATCTCTTTGATATCCCCAGGGTCAAACTTAATCTGTGTAAACACTCTATGCAAATTAAGGGACCTAGTCTATGGAACTCACTCCCTAGTGAATTGAAAAACTGTAAAACTTTTGCCTTATTTAAAAGCAAAACCAAAAAGTACCTAACTTCATCTATTTAGTTTCCTACACTGAGCTTTAAATTTGCTCTGTACCTAGTGGTACCCAATCTCCTAATTTTTATGTAATATCAAACAACCTTATCATTGTGTTCATTGCTGTCTTCTTTTATGTGCTTTTATGTGCTGTATTGTGACTACCAATATTTGTCAACTACCATTCAAGCTGTCATTGCAATCAATCTTATATTGTTTCTGCTGTATTGTGCCTACCAATTTGTTGTCAACTACCATTTTAAGCTGTCATTGCAATCAATCATAGCTACCTATGTGCTTTAATATACTGTACCTATAATTTTCTCTCATCTTTTTTTTTTTTCATTCCATGTAATCTGTTATCATTTTTTTTGTCTATAAATTTTGCAAGTATTTACCTCCTTAAAATTTTCTTAGATTAAGGACCTGCCCGAAACGCTGCGCGTGCTAGTGGCTTTACAAGACTGTAATTACCATAATTGTATCCTCACATTCCTTATGTACATTCTTGTATATGCATAAATAAATAAATAAAATAAATAAATAAATAAATATATGACCTCTTGTTCTTGAAGTTGCTGGTTTCAAAAATCCTTCTCTATCAAATTTGTCAATTCCCATTGCTATTTTGTATGTAGTTATCATATCACCTCTTTTTCTTCTATCTTCTATCTTTGGCATATTTAATGCCTCTAGCCTCTCCTCACAGCTCTTGTCCTTCAGTTCCAGAAGCCATTTTGTTGCACCTTTTCCAGTTTGTTGATGTGCTGCTTGAGATATGGACGCCATACAACAGCTGCATATTCCAGCTTTGATCTCACATAGGTTGTGAATAATTTCTAAAATATTTTACCATCCATGCATTTAAAAGCAATTCTGAAATTGGCAAGGAGCATAGGCTCCTTGCACAATGTTCTTGATATAGTCCTCAGGTGAGAGTTTTCTGTCTTGAACCAACCCAAGATCAATGTACTCTTATCTTTATCAGAATTTGTTATCAGAATTCCTTAGAGCTTCTTTATCAGAATTCTTTAAAGCATTTTCACTTAATTTGTAGGTTGTGTGGGGCCTATTATCTCCTATTCCACATTCCATAATGTGCCATTTATTCATGTGTGTAAATATTTGAATGTAATTATCTAAGTGTAATTACCTAAGCGTAATTACAGGATGAAAGCTATGCTCATGGTGTCCTGACTTCCCGGTACTCTTTGTCACATAACACTTTGAAACTACTGATGGTTTTAGCCTCCACCATCTTCTCACTTAGTTTGTTCTAACCGTCTACCACTCTGTTTGCAAACGAAAACTTTTTAATGTTTTTTTGGCATCTTTATTTCTTTAGCTTGAATCTGTATCCTCTTGTATATAATGTTGTTGACTTAAAGAATTCCTCCTTGTCAATTTGTGTATAATAATATGTGCATGTTTGATGATATATATAAGTATGGTGTGCAAGTGCAGCATATGTATGTCATACATATGTCAGAAGCATGTATGTATCATAGATATGCAAGTGTATGCACATGATAGATATGCATATATGCATACAGTATGTATTTCCTTGATAACATGTTAATACACAAAAACGTTCAGAACTTTTCTTTCATTTTGTAGTGGCTATTTAGGCATATGTATATGTGTGTGTGTGTGTGAGACTTATACTTGTGTATACATCCTGAGGATGTGTGTCATATGAATATTCTTTAAATGTTTAATATAAGTTGTTCAACATCTTTTAAAGTATTTTCTGCTGACTTCTAAGAAGCCATTTGGTGAGGGAGTAGTACAAGTGAAAAAATAACTTGCTGAATAATACCAGCACTGAGTGAGGCATAGAACAAGAGGCCACACAAGGGTAAACACCAACCAAAAAATATAGAAAGCATGCAAAAAAAATACAATAATTTTGTAAGTGAACAACAAAGCCACACTAAAAGCATAGGGGAAAGAATATCAAACAATTGAAATATATAATACTAAGAAGTATGGAAATGGCAGCGTACTTTTCCCATTTCTAAAAGATACCTGATAGCATGTTAAAACGTTTATAAATATGTTCTGAACTAACATTACTGAGCTTCACACGCATCAGTAAAATCCTTCTCTTATTGATAAACATTATCAAAATCTACACAGCGCTATACAAAAAATATACCATCAGATACCGCACAAAATCCATTTCCTAACAGCAACATCCACATCAAAAAAAAATAGTCAGTACTGCATAGTAAACATATAAAACATTAAATTAATAAAAAAACTACTTACCAACACCGGAGTAAGGCATGCCTGGGTAGGCTGCTGAAGGCTGCAGTGTGGCTGCTTCACCATTAGGGATAGGCTGGGCTGTTGAGTTCAATGTTCATGGTTAGGCCCACTCATTAAAACAGTTACTAGCATTAAAACAGTTACTAGCATTAAAACAGTTACTAGCATTAAAACAGTTACTAGCATTAAAGGTAATCTAATTGAAGCTACATACTGTATACTAAAAATTTAGTTGCCTACTTTTCAGATATTGATTTTATACTTTATATAGCAATAATACTTTTCTTGATCAAGTATTGAATCATTAGTATCCAGAAGCACTTGGTATTCACCTAACATTTGCTAATGCTTCTGCATACATAGTGTACTGTATTTTGAGTATTAATACAGAGGTTAGCTCAAAGAAACCATATAAACACAAATTCTCGAATTATGAGAGGATACAGCTAGTCATTCTCATGTTGGTGTTGTTTAAATATGATACTCTCAACATTTTGCAATAGATCTTGGCATAATAACAATGTTTGTACAAAATTTATGCATTCTTTTATTTTTCTCACAATAATATACTGTATATTGCTATCTAGTTATTACAATCCTATTCTATTGCACACTAGATGCTATCATAAGAAATGGAAGCAGTTGGGTCACTTATATAATAGCCAAATAAAGTGCTACAAGTATTAAGTTATGTGACATGCCAAGAGAAAGAAAATTGGTCTGCATCCTCAATTATACCATATTGTTTTGTAGGTCAACTCAATAACAGGAATACTACAAAAATATAACTAAGTTTATTTTAACAAAACTATGAATTTAGTCAACATGAAAGTTTATCATATACTGTACTTGTACTATGTTACTAAAAAAGGAAGTAACACTAACTACAATGAATTACTGCAAAGAATTACCATTTTTAATACTGAACAAAAATATAATTTAAAAATATAGAACAATTTCTTTCAACTTATTCAAGTACATATACAAAAAATTGAAGTGGTGGACACACATCTACATTACAAACCAAAATCCATTTCAACATGAAATATTTAACAGTAAAATATGAATGAAACAACAAAAAGGTGGTTAAAGACAAGTAAGAAAGAAAATGAGAAGCACATGATAACATATAAGCTAACATACAATGGATGATTGATACAAAATCGAGATGAAGTCTTCCTAGGGTAAGCTAAGCAAGATCTACACACCAGCCGTGGGGCGAGCAACTTGGACACAACCTTCACCTAGGATGAGAATGGCAAGCATCTTATTGGCCAAATGGGCTCAAGTTTTTTGACAAAAAATATATAAGGAATCCTATTAAGCAAGGAACTAATCATCTAATTGGCAAAATATGGAGGGAGAGAGGGATGTAAAGCTGAAAATTTACAAGGAGCACAAATCACGCATATTTATTAGCCAAATTGTCATTTCAGTCCCAAAAGAAATAGGACAGTAAATCTAGAAGCCACTATGCTGTGTTTTCTGCTCCTGTGAGTGGCTAACCTGGGGCTCAGCACGAATCCATGTTAAGTGATTAGTATCTATTGTAATCTAAAATATTTCTACACACAGTTGTGAAGCCATGGTGACAATTAACAAAAACAAAAGAGGTAGGAATTTTTGGGGCGCAATTTAAATGAGAAAAACTTTCGATTAAACCACAATTCAAGTTTTTGTGTCCTAAAGATATTAGGAAATTTTTGCTTCTAAATTATCTCATGTTATTTTTCAATAACAGTAGTGAAATTATTTATGCATAACTAAATTACAAAGAAGGAAAAACAAAAGAAAATAATTGTCTGTAAATCAAAATACTGTAATATTTTCCCAAAACCTTAATACTAAAAACTAAAGCAAATTATCAGAAAGTATGTAATTACCTAAGTGTAATTACCTAAGTGCAGTTACAAGATGAGAGCTACGCTCGAGGTGTCCCATCTACCCAGCACTCTGTCATATAATGCTTTGAAGCTACTGCCAGTTTTGGCCTCCACCACCTTCTCACCTAACTTGTTCCCACCATCTACCACTCTGTTTACAAAAGAGAATTTTCTTATATTTCTCCGACAGCTTTGTTTTGTTAGTTTAAATCAATGACCTCTTGTTCTTGAAGTTCTGGGTCTCAGGAATTCTACCCTATCAATTTTATCGATTCCTGTTACTATTTTGTACGTAGTGATCATATCGCCTCTGTTTCTTCTATCTTCTAGTTTTTGCATATTTAATGCCTCTAACCTCTCCTCATAGCTCTTGTACTTCAGTTCTGGGAGCCACCTGGTGGCATGTCTTTGCACCTTTTCCAGTTTCTTGATGTGCTTCTTAAGATATGGGCACCATACATCCGCTGCATATTCCAGCTTTCGTCATCTTCTTATCTTGAGGTTATCTTGAGATGATTTCGGGGCTTTTAGTGTCCCCGCAGCCCGGTCCTCAACCAGGCCTCCACCCCCAGGAAGCAGCCCATGACAGCTGACTAACACCCAGGTACCTATTTTACTGCTAGGTAACATGGGTATAGGGTGAAAGAAACTCTGCCCATTGTTTCTCGTCAGCGCCTGGGATCGAACCCAGGACCACAGGATCACAAGTCCCGCGTGCTGTCCGCTTGGCCGACCGGCACCCATAACTAACAAAAGTCGTGAACAATTTTCTTAGCATTTCGCCATCCATGTATTTAAAAGCAATTCTGAAGTTAGAAAGTGTAGCATAGGCTCCTCGCACAATGTTCTTACTGTGGTTCTCAGGTGCCAGTTTTCTATCAAGAACCACCCCTAGATCCCTTTCTTTGTCAGAATTCTTTAAAGAATTCTCACATAATTTATAGATTGTGTGGGGTCTATGTTCTCCTATTCCACATTCCATAACATGGCATTTATTCACATTAAATTCCATTTGCCAAGCGGTGCTTCATATACTTATTTTGTCCAGGTCTTCTTGAAGGGCATGACAATCTTCTAGGTTTCTTATCTTCCCTATTATCTTAGCATCATCAGCAAACATGTTCACATAATTCTGTATTCCATCTGGTAGATCGTTTATGTAGACAATGAACATTACCGGTGCAAGAACTGAACCCTGTGGTACTCCACTTGTGACAATCCTCCAATCCGATACATTGACTCCGATTACGGCCCTCATTTTTCTATCAGTTAGGAAATTTTTCATCCATGTTAGAAGCTTACCTGTCATCCCTCCAATATGCTCCAGTTTCCAGAACAACCTCTTATGTGGAACTCTGTCAAAAGCCATTTTTAGGTCCAGATAGATGCAATCAACCCAACCATCTCTTTCCTGTAAAATCTCTGTGGCTTGATCATAGTAACTGAGTAAATTCATTACACAGGATCTTCCAGATCGAAAACCATACTGTCTGCTTGATATATTGTTTTTCTCCAAGTGTCCAACCCATTTAGTTTTAATTATTTTTTCCAATATTTTGACTATTACACTTGTCAATGATATAGGTCTATAATTAACGGGGTCTTCCCTGCTGCCACTTTTGTAGACTGGGACGATGTTAGCCTTTTTCCACACAGCAACTACAACTCCTTTACACAGGGATGCCTGAAAAATCAGCTGAAGTGGAATGCTGAGCTCAAGTGCACATTCTCTCAGAACCCATGGTAAAACTCCATCTGGATCAACTGTTTTGTTCTTACTTAGCTCCTTTAGCATTTTCTCCACTTCATCTCTAGAGACCTTTATGTGCTCTATGCTGTTCTCTGGAATTCTTATTGTGTCTGGTTCCCTGAAGATTTCATTTTGTACAAACAAACTTTGTAACCTTTTGTTTAATGTTTCACACATTTCATTTTCATTTTCTGTGAATCTATTTCCCATTTTAAACCTCTGAATATTATCCTTTACCTGCAATTTGTTGTTTATGAATTTATGTTTATGAATTTAGACCTGGTTCTGTTTTACATTTGTCCACAATCCCTTTTTCAAAATTTCTTTCTGCCTCTCTCCTCACTGCCGTGTAGTTGTTTCTCACATCTTTGTATCGCTGGTATATTTGGGGGTTTGGCCTCTTCCTATATTGATTCCATTTTTGTATCTTTTGGTCTCTGGCTCTCTCGCAATTTCTGTCGAACCAATCCTGTTTCCTATCTCTGCATCTCTGCTTTGGAATAATTTTTTTTGTGCCTTTATCATATTTTTCACAAAACTTGACATACATCTCATTTACTTCATGTCCTAACAGCAAGTCTTTCCAGTCAATTTCCGTAAAGAAATGTCCGAGTTCCCCATAATGACCTCTCCTGAAATCAGGCTTTTCAACTGCCTCAACCTCATTTTCTTCCAAATTATAAGGCATAGCATACTTTATTCCCAATAAGACATGGTCACTTTTACCTAAGGGAGGGAGGTACTGAATGTCAAATATCTCTTCCTCTTTCCTGGTAAATATCAAATCCAGTATGGAGGGAACATCCCCTTCCCTCATCCTCGTAGCTTGTTTAACATGTTGAAACATTAATGTTTCCAGGATGAAGTTTACGAATCTACAAGTCCAAAAATCCTCCATTCTAGGTTCATATGCCTCCCAGTCTATGGATTTTAAGTTGAAGTCGCCGACTACCAACAGATGAGATCTATCTTTATCAGCTCTGACTATAATTTCTCTCATTATTGTTATTAGACCCTCTCATTTATTATCTAGCTCCTCCTTTGTCCATGTGTTGCTTGGCAGTGGACTATATGCATTTATAATCGTTAGTTTATCATCCTGATTGCATATCTCTAGTGCTATTATGTCAACTTCTCGTGGATTGGCAATTATTATTTCGTTTACCTTTAGGTGTTCTTTCACCTGCACAGCTACGCCACCACCTTTCCTAATTTTTCTGTCCCGTCTCCAGACCGAATAGCCTCTTGGGAATATGACCTCATTTAAAATAGCGTCTTCAAGTTTTGTCTCCGTGAGTGCAACAATGTCTGGTGTCTGCAGCTGTATTACATTACATAACTCCAGTATCTTTGATCTCACTCCAGCTATGTTGGTGTATGCAATTTTCAGGAACTTGTTCCCCCTCTCCTTATTCTTTACTCCCCCTTTCTCTAATCCTTTTGTT